TATTTTTAAATTTCAAACAATTTAAACTGGTGCGTACGCAATAGAAAACCGAAACTAAAGGTTGTGTCGTTAAATGAAAAAGAAATTAAATTACGTTTAGGTGACGTTAACTTGATGTTGTTAAATATTTACTGCTTTTTTTTAATGATTTCAAATAATTCAATGACAGACCTGATATCTATAAAAATGCTCAAAATGATACTTTAAATTTAGTAGATATAATGTTTTGTTTCTTAGCTTAGTGGTTCTTCTTCTTCCAGTTTTTTACTTTATAAAGTTTAATGTTTTGTTTCTTAGTGGTTCTTCTTCAAGTTTTTTACTTCACTAAAGTATAATGTTTTGTTTCTTAGTGGTTCTTCTTCTAGTTTTTTACTTTATAAAGTATAATGTTTTGTTTCTTAGCGGTTCTTCTTCTAGTTTTTAACTTTACTAAAGTATAATGTTTTGTTTCTTAGTGGTTCTTCTTCTAGTTTTTACTTCACTAAAGTATAATGTTTTGTTTCTCAGTGGTTCTTCTTCTAGTTTTTTACTTTATAAAGTATAATGTTTTGTTTCTTAGTGGTTCTTCTTCTAGTTGTTTTTACTAAAGTATAATGTTTTGTTTCTTAGTGGTTCTTCTTCTAGTTCTTTACTTACTAAAGTATGATGTTTTGTTTCTTAGTGATTCTTCTTTTTGTTTTTTTACTTACTAAAGTATAAAGTTTTGTTTCTTTGTGGTTCTTCTTCTAGTTTTTTACTTTACTAAGGTATAATGTTTTGTTTCTTTGTGGTTCTTCTTCTAGTTTTTTTACTTTACTAAAGTATAATGTTTTGTTTCATAGTGGTTCTTCTTCTAGTTTTTACTTTACTAAAGTATAATGTTTTGTTTCTTAGTGGTCCTTCTTCAAGTTTTTTACTTTATAAAGTATAATGTTTTGTTTCTTAGTGGTTCTTCTTCTAGTTTTTAACTTTACTAAAGTATAATGTTTTGTTTCTTAGTGGTTCTTCTTCTAGTTTTTTACTTTACTAAAGTATAATGTTTTGTTTTATAGTGGTTTTTCTTCTAGTTTTTACTTTACTAAAGTATAATGTTTTGTTTCTTAGTGGTTCTATTTCTAGTTTTTACTTTACTAAAGTATAATGTTTTGTTTCTTAGCGGTTCTTCTCCTAGGTTTTTACTTTACTAAAGTATAATGCTTTGTTTCTTAGTGGTTCTTCTTCTAGTTTTTTACTTTACTAAAGTATAATGTTTTGTTTCTTAGCGGTTCTTCTCCTAGGTTTTTACTTTACTAAAATATAATGTTTTGTTTCTTAGCGGTTCTTCTCCTAGGTTTTTACTTTACTAAACGAATTCATTTCATACTGCTTACGTTGCAAGGTGTGTTTCGCTACCAGCGAATACATGTACCTTGTGACTTTCTGTGATGGTTTGTCGTAACCTTTTCTCCCTTTTCTCGCACTCACTATGAATCCAGGCAAGAGTTCAGGAATATATTTCAGCGGTTCAACTAGGAAAAACACAACTAGAACTCCATATTCTTTTTACTTTTTATATATTTTTTATACAGGAAAAAGCCCTTTTAAACGCAAAGACATTAACAAGATGAAAAATAAAATACAAATACTGTTAAATTAATCAAAATAGGGCTAAAAAAACCTGTACGTTTACTTTACAGAACAAATACAATATATATTTTAATAAATCTAGCGTAGCTTACCATATTGAGCCTCCACATCAAGTCACATTTCGATTTAACAGACAGTATATATGGCGTCTTACAAAACGTTTTAAGATCGAAATTCAACTGCGCCGAAAAGTGTACGCTAGATTTATACTATAAACAAGTTCTTAGAAACCGGCTTCTGGAAACTTCTGTCCGCTCACAGTACGAAGACTCAGGGGTACTTCAGAATCTCTTCAGCGCAACCACACAGGGGCCATCATCTTTATAGAACATTACATACGTGACGTGGTCGCGTAACAAGGTGACAAAGACTCAATTCCTTCACAGGACTTTCCTACCAAACTATAATTTCCTAAAAAACACTTCGTATTTAAAACCAAATTTATTTTCTTAAAAAGTTATTTTATCAATTCTAAAAATTCGTTTTGTTTCGTTGGTCTCTATCGCTGACATATCTAAACATAGCGTGGTTTTTGTAGATAAATTCAACTGATACATATATTATATATAATACATAGGGAGATGACACAACATGACAACCCTAAACAAAACATTGTCTGTTCGGGGCATTCCTGAGTATAAATATATGGATATTCAATATCTATATCATCAGAGAAAACAAAACAATCTTTTTATAACATTTTATTCATGCTGAATGCAAAGATTTGAGTAATTGTCACATCTTCTTTGTAGATTTGGGATCTGCATGTCAAAATAAAAATAAAACAAGCGTTATAGTTTTGATACTTTATCACACTTTACCATTAACTTCATGTTTTTATGTCGACAATTTGACATAATTTTTGACGCTTCTTACGTTGCTTAAGGGAATTTAATCTATTTTCAGAACTGTGAAACAAAGTCTAGTATGACGTCACTGATTATAGAGGCGAGAGTGACTTATGCTATGAAGACGACATTTTCCGTACAGTGGAGCGCATCGAGAGTGATAAACCTGAATATACATTACAACCTTGTTTAGGACAAAAACTATAAATCTCGGATCAAAATTTTAGCTCGATCCTTTTGGACGTACAATCTGTAATAACAGCGAATAAAAACTCTTTAAAAATAGTAATTAAATTATCGACAAATAAACTTTATGTTTGGTTACAAAATACATGCAATTAAAAAGGCTAAAATGATAAAAGACAAAATTCTGCATGCTGGTAGTTTTATCTAATCAATTATAATATTAAAATGTAAATAGTAGATCGGTTACATTGACCCGTTCTTATTNCCCCCCCTATTCCTGACATTCAGTTGTGTATTCAATATTTATATCAATCCTAGGCGTATCAATGATTTGTATCAACTAAATGGTTAAAAGGCACCCTAAAATTAATAACAAATTCATACTTATGTTATTTTACGTTTGAGACAGTTTCTTGCAAAACACACACTTTACTTTAAAGAACGAGAATTATACTTTGAACAAAAATAAAAACTTTATGAATGAAAACTATATTTAAAGAAATACCATCTATTCTCTAAAAAATGAAAACTGTACTTTCAGAATGAAAACTATACTTTAAAGAATGAACGCTACACTTTAAGGAATAAAACTACACTTTAAAAGAATAAAGTTATACTTAAAAAATTGAATTTATTCTTAAAAGAATGAAAACTATACTTTTAAGAGGAAACCTATACTTTAAATTTAAAACAATCATCATTTGATGATTTTTACAATTTTTTAAAAAATATTTTAAAACCAATATTCAAAAATAAAAAGTGAAAACTATACTTAAAGAATAAAACTTTAAAAACTTAAAAAATAAAAGCTTTACTTCAATAAACTTTACTTTAAAGAATAAAAATTTTAAAATGAAAAATTTAAGCTAGATACTTAACAGAATGACAACTATTCTTTAAATTTACTTCAAAGAGATGACAAATTTTAGAAAGCTTCATATTTCAAATTTTTAAAGTCTTTAATTTGTTCATATTGTTTAAAATAATATTGAATAATGTGGATATATAAGAAATGAATATAAATCAATTAAATTATGAATTGTAAAATGTTAAAGAATATTTCTATAAAGTATGGAGGAAGAGTGTATGTACGCTGTATATAAAGAATTAGCGTATAGTTTATGATTCTATATATGACCCTCACATTCCACAACTTTTTGTTTTCATCGCTCATTATTTCACCCCAATACAGAAACAGAGATTCAGAACTTGATTAAACACCTTCCTTCCTTATATTCGGGAATTTCGGTTTCTTGGCACGTCCTTCAATCCTTCCTTCCTTCCATCCTGCGAATTCCTCCCTCATTGACTGGATAAAATCCTTTACTACACTCTGCAAGCTTGAACATGAAATAAATCATGACACTCTTCTTTTATTTCTGCCTGACTGTATGATTAAACATAATGAAATCAACTTTATATTGTAATTTTAAAAACACTTTTACAGGGAAGGTTAACCTAGTATTGAAATTTATTTTGAAAAGTGCAATAAGTGATTCACAACAGTAAACCCATCTCTGCAGTTTCCTGTCTCGTCTTTGTTGTAAAAATAAAGAAAGCAAAAAAATAAACTTATTAAGTCGAAACTTATCAAAAAAATGGTTAATGAACAAACATATAAACTAATAAACTAATGAATTAATGATCTAATGAACCAATATACAAATTAAATTATGATTTAATGAACTTATGAACTTGAACTAATTGAACTAATTAACTTATGGACTAATAAACTAATGGTTTAATGAAATTATGAACTAATGAACTAATAAACTAATGAACTTATCCACTTATGCAGTAATTGATTAATGAACTTGAACTAATGAACTAATGAACTTATAAACTACTGAAACGAAAAACTACTGAAATGATAAACTACTGAAATGATAAACTACTGAAATGATAAATAATTGAAATGATAAACTACTGAAATGATAAACTTCTGAAATGATAAACTACTGAAATGATAAACTACTGAAATGATAAACTACTGAAATGATAAACTACTGAAAAGATAAAATACTGAAATGATAAACTACTGAAATGATAAACTACTGAAACTAATAAACTAATGAACTAGTAAGCTTTTGAACATCATAAACTAATGAACATTATAAACTAATGAACCATAAGCTGATGAACTAATAAACTAATGAACTAATAGACCAATGAACTAATGAACAACTAAACTATGAAACTACTGAACCTAATCAACACTAATTATACAATGCCCCTGTTGCTAAATATATTGGTCTGATTGTACCAGGAGTAAACTAAGGTTGAGTTTTTACCAATGTATACCCTGAGATACGAAGTATATGTAGAAAATAAGGAACTGACCTGGGTTCAGTTATACACAAACATTCAACCAGTTAACATGCCTCACAAGGTGGGCAACAGATTGCAAATATTATGCAATATATTCGCACATCTAAAAGATGCAAGGAGCAGGGGGGGCAGATGGAGGAAGAGGGAGGGAGGGAATTATAGGAGGAGGGATTTGTTAATACTCAAATTAAACTTAGGAATTAGGTGAACCCTCTTTAGATCATAGTTGATATTAATTACAACTCTAAAATATGGCTTAATAATGTAGGGTGAATATTGTAGAATGTAATTTAGACATTAGACTTAGGATATCGGCTGTAAGATATAAAATATGTAATCTAATCGTTGGATGAAGAAAGTAGTATGTAATATAAAGACTTTAAGATTAAGGAAGTAAACAATAGAATAAAATAAGTAAAGAGTTTAACGTATATTATGCAGAATTAAGGATGCAGGATGCAGCATGAAGATTTTAGAGTGTAAAATGTGGAATGTATCATGCAGGATGTAAAATGTAGGTGTAAAATCAGAATAAAGGATATAGGATGTATAATGAAGGATGTTGGATGTAGATTGAAGACTAAAATGTAAAATGTAGGGTTTTAAATGTATTCTGAATAATGTATAATGTAAAATGCAAAATGCAAGGTTAATTAATAAATATAAAAAGTAAGAACTAGCTCTCTAGCTGTCCTTGAATTTCAAAGTTAGTGTTAAAGTTTACTCCCAAGAGAGAGATGTTAAAAAATCTAATCTGAAACCTGAGATCATGAAACTCTCTCCTAGTCCTGCTCCAACCTGAGATAATAAAACTCTCCTGGTCCTACTCCAACCTGAGATCATGAAACTCTCTCTAGTTCTACTCCGACCAGAGACCATCAAACTCTCTCCTGGTTCTATCCTACTCCAACCTGAGATCATGAAACTCTCTCCTAGTCCTGCTCCAACCTGAGATAATAAAACTCTCCTAGTCCTACTCCAACCTGAGATAATGAAACTCTCCTAGTCCTACTCGAACATGAGATCATGAAGCTCTCCTAGTTCTACTCCGACCAGAGACCATCAAACTCTCTCCTGGTTCTATTACAACCTGAGATTATGAAACTCTCCTGGTCCTACTCCAAAATGAGATAATGAAACTCTCCCCGTCCGACTCCAACCTGATATCATGAAAATCTCCTAGTCCTACTAGAACCTGAGATAATAAAACTTTCCTACTCCTACTCCAACCTGAGATGATGAAACTCTCTCCTGTTCCTACTCCAACCTGAGATCATGAAACTCTCTTAGTCCTACTTCAACCTGAGATAATGAAACTCTCAAAATCTCCTATTCCTACTCCAGCTGAGATCATGAAACTCTCCTAGTCCTACTCCAGCTGAGATCATGAAAGTCTCCTAGTCCTACTACAACCTGAGATCATGAAACTCTCCTAGTCCTACTCCAGCTGAGATCATGAAACTCTCCTAGTCCTACCCCAGCTGAGATCATGAAACTCTCCTAGTCCTAATACAACCTGGGATCATGAAACTCTCCTAGTCCTACTACAACCTGAGATCATGAAACTCTCCTAGTCCTACTCCAGCTGAGATCATGAAACTCTCCTAGTCCTACTACAACCGGCAAGATAATGAAACTATTCTAGTCCTAAACTGAGATTATGAAACTCTCTCCTAGAAATAATCAAACCTGAGTTCAAGAAATTTTGGAACCTTTGGAGTACTAGGAATTTTTGGAACACTCTGAACCTATAGAATACCTTTGGAATAATATGAACCCTAGGATAAATTGGAATAGGCGTACTAGGAACATTTGGAATACTTGGAATCTTTAGAGTACTAGGAACACTTTGTGTACTTAAAACGTTTTGAATATTAAGAACATTAGGAGTACTTGAAACGTTTGGAATACTTGGAATCTTTGGAGTATTGTACTATATGAACCTTTGGAGCACTATGAACCTTTGGAGTACTATGAACCTTAGGAGTACTAGGAACTCTTGGAATACTTGAAGCCTTTGAGATATTAGGAACCTTTGGAGTACAATTGGAATCTTTCCATGAAATCTTTGGAACTCGGAAATATTTCAGAAATAATTAATATTATTGGAAAACAAGTTTACTTAAAGGACGGCCGAAGTAATTTCAGGTGACTTATAACAGGCCCTTACCGTTGTATCTTTGTTTTATCATAAATGATTGAGATATCCTTATTTTTACTGTTTTATTTTTTTCCCAATTGTGGATTTTCTGCAAATGTGATTAATGCAGAACAAGCAAGAAAGAACAAATTTTGGTGTTAGAAAAATATCTCTCAATTGTTACTTACTATTGTTACTAACGGTTGTGTAAAAGGGTACTTCTGTGGATCGTGTTTTTAACATTTAAAATGGAGGGTCAATTGAAAATATGCCGATTGTCCCTTTTCCGGACAATATTTCAGAATAATTTCCGGTTTACGAGAAAAAAGTTGTTCCGGAATTCCGAATACCTTTCCAAAATGAAAATTGGGAAAACAATTCCGGACAATTTCTGTACTTAAACCGTAAACCGGAATTCCGGTGCAAACCCTAGTGCTTCAGTATTTTAATCGATGTAAAAAGTGCCAACCATAAAAAACAAGAATTGTCCTCTTTAAAAAATATAAACTACAACTGTAGCTTGAGAAATCGTTGACGTGATTTGTTAAATTAAGATTTAATTAATTCCATTGAATCTTGAGACCAAGGAGCCCGTTCAACCATTATGCTGCAAGCTTAAATTCTCAAGCCTGTAAAACTTAAAATTATCTTTATACCCGCATCCCCCATGCAATTCATGTCCCCCCTCTATGCAGTTACTGTATCCCCCCTTTTATCTGCTTGCTTGAGTTATTTTACCATTAAGTTTGTAAGTAAAGTTTACTCCAGAATTTTCCTCATTTCCCGTCATTTATTCGTCTTTATATTCGCAGTATTTAGATGCATATCAGTGCAAATACAAGGAATTCTAAAAATTCTAAATAGTTAAAGGGTGATACCGTGTGTGGGAAATCTCATTTAACCTTTTCTCCCCCCATGAATT